CCCATTTTTATTCCTCCATGACACCCCAAAAATCAGAACAGAACAGAATACTGAAAATATTCTGTTGTTATTTATTATATAATCACTGTCATGTCTGAAATTGAACTACTGGATTCAGTTTTGATCTTCTCAACTCAGAGGAAGCATAACTAGAGTGAAATGGATCCAGAGATGGAGGTATATAAAGTGTCCATTTGAAAAGCAGGAAAAAATCTAAAGCTGTCAGGTTGAGACACAGGATGACAGAGCTACTAAAAAGAAAAATAAATTGGTTGTGCAAGGCCATCAACACACCAAACTGTTAAATGCATAAATATGCAATGAGAATATCCATTTACATTACAGAAAATAAAAGTTGCAAGCACATGACTTCATGTGAACTGTAAAGATCAAAGTTGAGCTTCAGGCAGGTCATTTCATTTCTGCTTGCTCTAAGTGTTCTTTTATTATTCTTTAAGAAAAAAATCACCTACAGAATAATGGACTGAGTATAAATGGTTATTTAAGTGGAATTCACCACTATACAAAGCTGCAGCTGAATTTGTCTATTCAAGTAGAGGATTTGTCAATCAGATACATTTTAAATTATCTATGGCATGATGGTGACAAAGGTTTTAAAAAGCACAAAGTCTTCAGGTATAGGCATCTGATATCATATCCACCATGGACACTACCTTAGCCAAGCATGGAACCCAATAAAATATTTTTATCCTCAGCACAGAAATACTATCACCTAGGAAGTAGCATTAGCAAGGCTACACAATAAATACTTCGACCAAACATGCAGTATATATTTTCCATATGGTTTAGTAACAGTAATTGCTATCAGGCAGCATAAAATATAACTGCTGGAGAAGTATTTACATAATATTCAGGTATGGTTTAAAAAAAATAATAAATATAGGATTTTCAGAGTATTTACAACAGTAAGCCCCTGGTTAATGGAAAAGTCCACATAAAACCTGCACAGGTGCCAGTAACTTTGACATTCCATGCATCTCCTGCCCTATGCAGCAATACGAATGACTGCAAAGAACAAACAGGAAACTGAAGAACATCTAACAAGCAGAAATGGAATTTTTTTTTTCTTTGAATATATTGGAATAGTAAAATTTTAATTGTCTTGATCATATCTAACCAGTTGAATAAAACCTGAACAATATAACCTGGTAAATGCTTTTAAAAGCCTTAACAGAAACTAATTATCACTGCTGGGTTCTACTAAAAAAAGCCCAAAACTGAAAGCACAAGAAAAATAAATTAAAATCATTACAGAAGAATGAAGTGAAGGAGACACTTTCACCAGAATAAATACCCTGCTGCACAGGTATTTCTGTTGGGCAAGAAAGAGAACAATCCTTCTGTCCCATGAGTCTTCCTAAGAGCAGGACATATCTGAAGCTAACATGGAACAGAAGATGCAGCCGACAGTAACAACAAAAAATACACCTTGTCAAAGACCAAGCAAATAGACAAACAAAACCTCACAATGTGACTTCATCATGTTCTCAAGTATAAGCCTGGCAGTACCTGGGCTTCAGAGACCTCCAGTCTGGACAAGGGCACGAGGTACTGCCATGTCTGACACTGGCCACTGAGGTATCCGGTGTGAATGGCACAGGCAGAGTTAAAAAAAAAAAAAAAAAAAAAATATTAACTAACCACCTCACAGTGACTTGAGGAGATGGTGGCAGCAGCTAATGTGTTAATCACCAGCCATACAGCTACACTGAGAGCAGATAAAGAGTAAAAAGGGTGTCAGGGGAGTTAAGAAACGCTCATGACTTCACTGAAATTCTGCTTAGCCCTATAATGTGTGTGCAGTCATGTGGGGTGGGGGGAGAGGGGAGGAGGGAAAGACCTCTGCTACAAGATCTGTGTGTGGCTTCACATGTACAAAAATATACACGTTCCCACATGTGGCCTCATCTTCAGTTACACAGGATGCACTAAATACCAGCTGATGAAACATTTAAAGAAGAAAAAAAACAAAAGACCAACCCCACTAAGCTTTGGCTAATATAGGCTTGGGGTTTTATTTAAAAATACATTTAAATGTGCATTCTTTCAGGGATGACATTTAAGGGCAAGAACATATATATACACACACATATACACCAGTCTGCATCAGGCCCTAATCTGAACTGGGAGTGATCCCAGGTCCAACCAGCAGTTGTCCCTCTCTCTAGCTGACCAGACTAAAGGTCATTAGTGGGAAATATATACATACATACGTACGTACAAAGTGGATCCCACCAACACCAACAGACATGTACACTGTGGATCCCACCGGTAGCTAGGCTCAGACATGCAGCTCTCCCCAGCTGCCTCATGCACGCACGCACGCACGCACGCGCGCGCACACACACACACACACACACACGTCTCGGTTGACCTCCAGACCTCCTGGTCCCTCCAACTGTTTCACAAGAGACACACACACATATACCTGTCTCACAAGACACTTAACCTACTTGCTGGTCAGTGAGGCTTGATACTCACTGCCAATCCCACTGACACACATACCCTCACGCACCTGTTGTGGGCACCTCTGACACACCTGATCCCCGGAGAGAATTTGTGTAGACTGCAGGTGGACCTAGCCCTTCCCACAAAGTCTGAGGGTTAAATTTCCATCCCACTGTACAAAAAATTACTCAAACTTAGTATTAAAAAACACCTCTGCTTTTTTTGGAAAGTAATTACATTTTCTTTGATCTCACAGTACAATTATTGAGGACATGCATGAGAAAGATGGCTCTATAAGCTCATCAGTAGCATGACACCTGGAGAAATGGCAGATCAAGTCTCTGTCATTTCCTTCTTTAGGCAGTTTGGTAGCTTTTTCTTGCCTGGGTTTCTCTTTCTATAAAATGCAGGTAAGTTTATCTAAGAGCAGGGCAGAGCAATAGCTGTTAGGATCATGTACATAGCTGACAAGTGCTCAGACAGAGTAACAGAAGTACCAAAGACAGAAAGGGACTTATCAGCATGATTCCTAATTACATTACTGGCAAGACTTACTAGACTCACTTTTGCTTAAGCTAATACTCTTTTCCCCATTTCTAGTTACAAAATAAAACTGGAATACAGTTAATGCAAGAACTGTGGTCTTGGGGCTTAACTTCCAAAGGAAACATGCAGACAGCAATACACTACATGTTCCCCAGGAGCAATCAAAAATGGGATAAGGCTTATGTCTGAAATAGGTTCAACAAGCACAGCGCACAGTTTGAAACTGCCCAGTTCCTTTGAACTAAAAAGTAAAGTTAACCAGGCAAGGGTTGTGGGTTTTCGCAGTTTTGTTTTTTTTTTTTTTCTTTTGTTTAAGTCTTTTCCTATCCTACTATCATGGTTTCAGACCAGAGGGCAACTGAGCACCATGCAGTCACTCACTCACCCCTTCCCCCTCAGGAATAGGAAGGAGAAAACAAAGAAAAAGGCTTGGGGTTGAAGACAAGGACAGAGAGGGATGACTCACACATTATGGTCACAGGCAAAAGACAGACTTGCATGGGAAGAAAAAGAACATCAATTTAATTCAAACATGCTAAAACCACTTAAGAAACAAAAGTAGGACAATGAGTAGTATTACTACATTTAGAAATACCTTCCCCCTACTCTTCTTCCCAGGCTCAGCTCTGCTCCCAATTTCTCTGCCTCCCCTGCAGTGGCATAGGGAATGAAGTCAGTGCAGTCAGTCCTGCTGCTTCTTTCTTCTCAGGGGTAGGATCCTCACACTCCTCCCCTGCTCCAGCATGGTTTCCCTCTCACAGGAGAGTCCTCCACAAACTTTCTCTGATGAGTTCTTCCCATGGGCTGCAGCCTTTCCTCAGCTGCTCCAGCATGGATCCCTCTTGTGTGTTGCAGTCCTCCCAGCACCGAACTACAACAGCTGGACTTCTTCCCTCAGAGTCCTGGCCTTCTTCAGGTGCAGCCACCTGCGCAGCGTGAAGTCCTCCACGGGCTGGGCATCTGCTCCACCAGGGGCACAGACTGACCTCTCACCATGGGCTGCAGGGGAGTCTGCTCCAGCGTATCTCCCCCCTCCTCCTCCTTTCTTCCACTGACCTCAGTGTCCTTGCAACTCCTCCCCCCAGATTCCCATTCTTAAATAAGTTATCACAGAGGTGCAGTCACTGTCCCTAATTGGCTCAGACTTGGCCAGAAGCGGGTCTGACTTGGAGCCACGGAGCTTCAAAAGCTTCTCACAGGGAGCCACTGCTGTAGCCCCCTTCACCGCTACTAAAAACCCCACCACATACACAAACCCAACACACCTACTCACAGTGTTGGACAGAATGAAAGTATTTACAGAGGCCAAGTCAATTTTACCAAATAAACCAATCTTTGGGGAACCCCTCAAAATGTTTCAGCTCAGTGATCTAAGTTCCCTTAGAATACAACATTTCCTTCTGAGTAAAATGCTGTCAGATTCATCTTCAAATCATGGTTGCTGATAACTTGGAATGGTGGAAGAGGGAGAAAGACATTTCCATATTTTCAAATTGCCTACAAACTCCATGATTTGCAACACAGCCCCTGCCTTATTTTGTTTTGAGACTTGGACTTCTACTTACAGTAACATCCCCCGCTCCTCCCTCTCTGTGCCATTCAACACCTAAGGTGCCATTCAGTAGCTAAATTCAATCCTTAAATGGACACACTAGTCATGTTCTGTGATTCTGACATTTCTGTAATTTTTCATTTTTCAGAAGACACTTCTCAAGATGCTCAGTACCTTCACAAGACTGCTAAAAAGGCATATTCATTCTACTCCTGCCAAAATTCTGGATTTTCTGAGAAACTGAGATAGAAGGGGAAAGGAAAAAGAGAGGAAATAGAGGTGCAAGAAACATGGAAATATTACTTCTGCTTTCTGGTGTAGCAGACAGCTTGAATTTAGAAACAGCAAACTGAAAAAAATCTGGCATGAGTTTAGAAATAAACTCTTTTGAAACTTAGATAAGAAGAGAAATTGTAACATCAACTTTATTTCACAAATTCAAAATAACATTCAAAAACCAGTATGAAAACAGGCCTTAAGGAATGCTTCATCATTAATGCTTCTCTGGAACAACAGCTTTAGCATAATAACCAGTTCTAGTTACCAGTATAAAGACTGTAAGCCTGCATAAGAAACAGCACACAACCTTCACTATTTCTTTTAAATGACAAAGGAATTCTGTAACCAGTTCTGGAATTATGAGAAAAAAATATACATGATATTTCTCTAATGAAAGAATGCTAAAAGATGTTAAAAATTCCCCTGCTTAGCTTTAGGGGACATAGTAAAATCCATCCCTGTATGCTTTTCTAAAAGACCGTATGATTTGCTAAATCAGCACTATCTAATTATAGAGAGACACAATTTAATTAAGAAAAAACATAGAGTTCTTATTGCAAGCCTTCTCCATCTCCATAATTCCTGTATCTCAGAAAACCTTTCCTCTCTACTTTTCCTGCTCATTCAATGTCACCGACTGCAAACACAAAAATACCTTCAGATAACACATGGTGGTTTGTTGGGCTTACTTTTGTTTGAATTTTGGGCTTTGCATTATGCAGTTATAAATTTAAGAGTAAGTTGCAACTATTTTTTGTTGTTCTAAGAGATCATAATAAAGCTCATGTGCTTCATTACTACTTACTACATTACTAAATAATGCAAGTGCTTTAGTTTTATGGAGAATTAGTAACAAGATAGGGGAAATGCATGGATAACAGCTATATATCAGACCCTGTCAAATGCAATACACACAATCAGAAAATGACACTCAACTGGTAATATCCCAAAAGGTGCTATGCTATTACCTGCAGTATTACCAAAATGGTCACTGCAACTTCTGTATCATGATATGTAACACAAAAATGAATACCTCTAAGAGATATGGGAAAAGCTGCAGCTTGCAGTCAGAAAAATATTGTTTTCTCTGTAATGTCCAAGAACTTCCAAGTGGCACTGAAGATCATAAATTCTAAGAACACACATATAATAAGTGCTATTTCAAAACAAACTCCAGTTAACAGAAGGCAGTTAATGACTTATCTTTACTAATGCAATACTAGTAGCTTTTTCTTTTATTAATAATTTTTAAAAACACATAGAGGTGATTGGCTGATGCAAAATGTTGATGTTTGTATCAGCTTAGTCATTTCCATTAAAGTTTAAAATTGGAGTACTTTTCAAAAAGAAGCACTTCTTTTTTTCTTATGTGCCAAAGATCAAAAAATGCACTGTTTGCAATTACTGTAAGCCATCTCTCTCTATGGAGCTTTTTTTGTAGATTACTTGGCAATGATTGATATAATCGCTCTGCTGAAGAATTTGTGCACAAAATCTTAGTTGATCTCTTCCAAGGATATTTAAATAATCATTACACAGGTTCATTCACACACATTCACTAGAATGTTTCTTCTTTGTACACAATTTTATTCTAACTGATCATCATATTTTTTCCATATTTTTTTCTTGATTTAACTACCAATTAACTAATAATCACTGGATAACCACAAGAGTTGGAGTAAGTGATGTGGTTCTGATTATGCTTAAGGCAAAACAAAAACAAAAATTCTCCCCAGGAAATAAACTGCTTTGTCTAAAACATTCTCTCATACTTTATGTTTATCTTCAAAGATCTAAGTATGACAAGGAACCAAGAAAACATGGATGGTTAGAAGTTAGAAAAAGCAGAGGGAAGAGAGAAGGGATATGAAGAGAAGCATGAATGACTTACACTTTTCCATCTATCTGCACTCCAAATGGTCCTTGTTAGAAAGAAGACCAGACACTTCAACCATTTTCTTTCAACAACTTGATTTTTGCAGTGAATCGTCATATGTAAGGGCAACTGCTTTCAAAACACCACTTTTTACTGTGTTTTCAACTTAAAAAAATAGTTTAGTAATCTGAGAAAGTATTTATTAAACAATATTTCTCCAGCAACCAAATACAACTCAACTGGTGAGTTTGCTCATAAATTAACCACAAATATTTTAGAGACAGGAATGAAAATAATTTCAAAACAATTATGCCAGAAAATCTAATAAGGATTAGCATGGAGTGCAGCAAAACTCTGAGATATGATTTAACAATGGAATGAAAAAGCGAAGCATTTAAAGTAAACTTCAGAGTTGAAGTTCTGCGGTAATCTTTCTGTGCAACACTCAACATGAATTCCTCTTGGTAGTTACTGTCATTGTGCAAGCTGAAAAAAATCTAAAAAGTCTCAGGAACTATTTAGAAAGCGTTCAAATAAATCTTAGTAAGTCAGTAATGTATTTGATGACACATAGATCTGTAACATATTTACTCCGTAGCTTCTTTATATATACATTATAGAAAAAAATACATGATGTAAACATACAATTATACTTGTACAAGTGCAAAAGTTTTTACCTTCTATGCTACACCAATCTTAAAATGAGAGAATCAAGGCACTGAGATAGTTCATTACATAACATCATTTAAAACCACTCACTTCAAAAGGCAGCCTGGTTTGTTGTCATTTAAAAGGTTTCATATTCCTGCTTGAAAGGTCAATAGAGAAAGTTAAGATTTGGGTGACTACATACAGCACTTTTGATAATAACTTTTAGTCAAATGCATATGTGTGAAATTAAATCTTGTGTGTTAAAAGCACAAGTAAAGCTAAATATTTAGCTCCAAACATCCTGCAAGTATCGTTTTGCTTCTCGAAGTGTGGCCAGGATTTTCATTGCTTCCAATTTGTCAGTTTCCATTTCCATGCTTAAAATGTCCACCACAGCATCACTTACACCATCAGCCATGTGCTTCTTATCTCTACAAAACAAGAGGAGGAAAACGCATAATAATGTATTCTTCCCTTTATCAATAGCTACAGAGGCATTGATAATAATATTGAAAAAAAGGCATTAAAAAAATCCCAAACAGAAATGTAGCTTCTATACTGTATGGCAAGATTCTCACTGAGTTTTTTCATGTAGCGGAGCACCACTTCACAGTAACCAAGGGTTTTTCTTAATCAAACATTACAAAGTTTTCAGCAAACCCGCCC